TTTTATTAGTCAAATACACATGTGTATCATAAGTTTCTTCTTTGTTGTATCTACCAATGTGGAGGTATTCATAACTACAATCCTAGAATTTATTTTTAGCTATTTCAAGAAATTCTTGCCACTTGTCTCATTTTGTTATTTTACAGAGTTGTTTGTAGTGTCATCTTCTTTGTTGATCGTCTTTCTTCCCAACTTTCTTCCTATCCAGACTTATAATGATTATAATAGAAATGGGAAGAGGAAGGTGAAAAAGAAGAAAACTGGGAAACCTGGCATTTGAGAAATTATTTTTTTAATATTTAAGCAATGGCAATGATTTTGTTAAAATAAAATTATCATTTTAGTTTTGTTTGTTTTTCTTTAGGGATTATTATACTTGAGACAGTAATCCCTTTAAAACATTCAGAGAAGCTTATGTGGGGCAAATAAAAGAAACTGGGGTATAAGATAAAGTGCAGTATTTATGTTATTACAAATAGTTTTTTTGAAAAAAAAATATATATGCCTATATATAGGCTATAGGCCTATCATGAAAATGCATAATTTGTAGTTTATTTTCTTTTTGTATCTTATGAATTTTTTTGTTTGTTTTATAGAAAATACTGCAGTTTCTACCTGAACGAATTTTCTTTCGATGGCATTACCAGAGCATAGGTAAGAACAATTAAATAATTTTTTAAGTAGTATGGATGTCTTCTAACTGAATTTTCAATAGTTTTACATAATTACTATCATCAAGATAGGTTATAGCAAGAAATATTAACAAGGGTATGCTAATTAAAACTGAGACAAGTCCAACCTGAACTTTGGAGGAAAATATAGTATCTATCTGCGCTCTAAAAGTGCTACTTAAAGTATTGTCTTACACCAGCAATATCAGCCTCAACAGAGAGCTCATTAAAAAATGCAGAATCTCAGGCCCCAGCCAGACCTACCGAATCACAGTCTACATTTTTAACCAGAGCCCCAGGGGATTCCTGTTTATAAAGTTTGAGAAACATTGATCTAGAGAAATTTTCTTAAGTAATTTTATATTTTCATTACAAAAAATCTGGTTCTTCAAGCCTTTACTACTGACTCAAATTCATTCTGTTTGAATTCTATAGGATATGGCAGCAAGAGGGAACTTGAAATTACCATCGCTGCCCTTTCTGTCCAGCTCCGGACATCACACAGTATTTCATCTCAATATTCATAGCACACATGGAATAATTTGTGCTATTGATTGTGAACTGTACCTTCTGTTTAAAGAGTGTTTGGTTTAATCCTTCTGTCTTAGAAAACTCTGACATTTCCTACACATTTTCTTTCTTATCAGATGGTCACGTTTGAGGAGAGCATAGCCTTATAATGGAATTCTAATTGTTCGATCATTCATTTTTTAAAAATATTTATTGAGGGAGAGATATTTGTGTACAAAGTTCTGGGACAAAAACAGAATATTTCACCATCCTTGTAAAAGCCGATTGCCTAGTGGGGGTTAGAGAAAAAATTATTACAGCATATTTGTTACTCTGAAAAAAGTATAATGGTAGCAAAGAAGAAAAGTTGAATAATTCTATTTAGATGAATTAAGGAATGCTTCAAGTGAGGCAATTTTAATTTGAACCTTGTGGAAAGTGTGGAAAGGGCTTTCTAGGTAGGAAATCAATATGTGAAAGACATGAAACCTGAAAGAATGTGGCGTGTTCAGTGGATATTTCAAAATTAAGAATCCTGATTTTAATTTAGGATTACTTATATGGAAAATGTAACTAACCCTTTTATAAACTGATTTAAACTTATATGTTATAAATGTAAAGAAAGTAAAATATGTATAGTAAATATATCTATTGAACCGAGTGACTAAATCATTAAAGATAGTGCAACTGAGTGACTAAATCATTAAAGATAGTTTAAATCTTTCAAACAAAGAAAGTTTTCCTTTAAATTTTAGAGAGCTGTCAGTAGCATTTCTGCTTAATTGATGCTTTGACCTTGGTATTTAAATTAAAGTAAAAATAAACAAAGTTAAATGCTAAGTATAATCTAGAGAAACATCATGGGGGTTTGTGATGCTCTGAGAAATAAGTACATGCACTATTTTTTACTTGTGCAAGATATAATTCTTCAGTTTTTTAAATGTCATATGAAAACGATACTCATTTTTTTTTCAGATAGTACTTTAAAATGTCTAAAAGACTAATAAGCCCCTCCAGCATGAATAAATTTTTTAGAACTGTGTGGAAGTTAATTTGCTATTTGTGTTCTGAAACTTTGTGCATCTAGTAGGCATTATGTGGTATTACTTTAATTCTGCCCACTACCATGTGGTTACTATTAAAACTGCTGGTACAAGTAGCTTTTTACCCAGTTTAATAGCATTTTACCAGGAACGGTGACTCCTGGATTGTGATTGCAGAGTAGTAGGTCTCCTGAGCCTCACAAAAGCAAGTGTTTCTCTAGCTTGTCCAGTGTGTAGAATAAGCTGGCTTTATAATGTGGTCAGAGTGAGTCATGTTTCAGAATGCTGAAGTATGAGCATTTGCATATAAAATCATCTTGTTGATGCTTATATACTTAGTGCTTGAATCAAACAGGTTTTTTTCAAATAAGCATATTTTTGCATGATGTATCAAACTAGGTAGAAATTGGTATTAGATTCACATCTCTTTTATGATGTGAATTTGTGCTTTAGGATGAGAAGTTTTCAGATTTCAGAATGGTACTGTGATGCATTGATATACAGTGAATATTCACACAATGTCTGTATATAACACTGCAGGGGTCTGATTATTATTTCTGTAGCTTAAGATACGAGTATTCATCATCAGCAGGCTAACTAAACCCAGAAGAACCTCAGTCAGGTTAATCAGGTATTGGCCATAGCATGAGTTAAGATCAGGTCTGTTCCTGTCCACTAATGAATTACACAAAAACCTTCAGTTTTCATAGCTTTTTTGATTTCAAAATTGCTGATAAGGGATTATGGATTTCTAATTCTACAAATTTTTTACTTACTGTACCGCTTGCATTCTTCCTAGTTTATTTGGATTTGTTAAAACTGTTACTGTTGGTCAGCCAAGGTCTTGACCAAGTTAGTTGAAGAAGCTAAGAAACTATAAGGAAAATGCACATTTCAAAGGAAAGGAATGTGCCTTAAATGTCTCCTTAGCATTGGCATCTTGACTTCTGTACAACTTCTGAGGCTAGGACAGGAAGCTTTTCACTAGTCAGTGCCTAATATTTTAGGTATGTAATATTCCTTATTTTAGTTTTTTTACATTATAGATATCTGGTATTCCTTACCTAATAGAAAGAACAGTGCTGTATATACTTTTAAATTAAATGTTATTGCAGTTGGTAGTGGCCAGGATACTCTGAAATATATGGTTAGAACCTTGAAGCTTGGTTTACACACCACTGATTCAGTGTGCATCTGTACCGCACTGCAGATAATAATTTTAAAAAGCATAGAAACCTAAAATAAGAACAGATGCTATATACTGCAAGTTTTAAAAGCTCTCAGACCTACTGGACAGCCACATTTTATCTTGAGAAGGAAGAAAGTAATTTATAACATCAGCTGCCACAGTGTTTGAAGTCTGTTCCTTATCACCTCATCATGTTTTGTCTACAGCAAAGAGAGATAATTCAATTTTTCTTAAAACTGTTTTTAGAGGGAAATAATAGTCTGTAAGTTTTTCTTTGTTTAAGGTTTTTAAAGCTGACTCCTTGCTTATAAATCATTGAATGAGGAAGCACATTTGAACTCTTTAAGTTTTATAGCATGTAATAAACACTGGTTCATTATGCCAAACATCTAGAGATACTGCTTTAAGAGATGTTTAGAGAGTAAGAAGATTAGGGAAATAGCTGACACAGCATCAAGTCTATGGTGTATGCTAACTTGCTACTCAACTATTTGTAAATGTTAATTACTGATTACAAATGGAAAAAAATTTTCCCCGAAGTCAGTTTATCAAATTTTCCCTAAAGTTAGTTTTAGGCCAGTAAATCATGGTGGATAAAGGTGGCCGTTTGAAGCCTTATCTCTGTGCAATAATGAGAACTGACATAGAATGAAGAGATGACAAAGAATGGGCACATTAGCAAACCAGGGATACTTGGTGCAAGGATAGGCTGTGATACCCCTTCATGTGCCCATTTGTTATAAGTACAGGATTCAAGTTAAATGTTTATTTGCTTTAAGAGTGTTTACAGCTCATGAGCGTCTAGAAAGCAGATTTCTTGTCCCATTCAGCATACAGTGCTGTGCTTGTCCTCGATAAATATTTGCTGAGTGAGTGGAAGGATATATTTTATGCTAGAGATGTTTTATGTCAAAAATATTAAAAAGAAATAACTCTTGGACTTCAAGCAGTAGGCTTAATTAGTGGAAAATTCACACATGTACAGTACTTCATATCTGTTTTATATATGTCATAATTGAATCCATTTGTTCAATTAGAGTTTTTTTATACATAGTATAAAAACGAAGTGCATAACTAAACTGCAAATTTGTTTATGTCTTTTTAGGAGTTTCCCTGGTATTATGCCTTGGGCTATCCAATGGCCTCACATTACCTGGGATGTGAATATGACCTATGTGCAGCTTCATTTCCCAAATTTTCTAGGGCTCACTGGGCTCTCACCTTTCCTTAGGAGCCTGAGTCTGACAGCTCTGCTTGGGTCCCTCATAGTCAGGCCTCACCAGAGCTCACTCTTCTCAAGGCAGCAGGGGTCTCTCCATGCCTTTTACACTAGGACTCCCTTGGAGGTGCATCACAGTCAGGCTGAGCTAAATCCAGGGACCTGGATCCCTCCACCAGGGAATGACTGGGCTTAATGACTCCTCAGTTTACTTGGTATCTTCCCAGGGTCCTCTGGGGTGCTTTCACCATCAGTGCTCTGCATTTCTTCCCTCCTGTCCACTTTGTACTCTTCCTTCTAGAAGTCCTCTTCTTGAGTTAAGCAACAGCCCTATAGCCTCAGCCTCTTGCTTTTAGTTCCTCGGCTACCTGAAACCTAGCATATCTCTGAGGCTCCTCTGTCCTTCTTAGAGGTATATAGGTGAGATTATGATTTCTTTTCTCCAAGGCCAAATCTAGGCATCATCTAGTACCCCCTCTGCGGAAACCTCTCTCCCTTGACCTTGTCCCTCCTTGTTGCTGCCATTTCTTTTGATCTCCTGCTCACTTGCCTTTTTTTAAATGCCTTTGCTCTCTCCCAGTCCTTTTTTCAACACCAAGTTACCCATCAGACCCTTGATCCTCTTACCTTCTGTGGCTTCCTGACTTTATCTTCTAGACTCTTGTCATCATGTAGACCTCTATTTGACCACAACTTCCATCCTCCTGATCTTTCACTCAGTCACTTCCAGGGTACCTTCTCTGTTTTTTCTTTTTTAAAAAATAGATTTTTTTTTTGGAGAATAATTTATATACAATAAACTGTACATACTTAAAGTGTACATTTTGGTAAGTTTTGACATAGGTATGTACCTGTGAAAATGTTACTCCCATCAAGATAACGAACACCATCACTCCTAAAAGTTTTCTCATGATACTTTCCCACCCTTCTCCACCTTACTCCCAGTGCCAGGCCACCACTGATCTGTTTTTTGTCACTATAGATTGATTTTTTCTAGAGTCTTACAGAAATAGAATCAGATAGTATGTACTTTTTTTCTGTTTGGCTTCTTTCATTCAATATAATTACTTTGAGATTCATCTCTGTTGGTGCGTATATTAATAGTTCATTCCTTTTTATTTCTGAGTAGTACAGTATTCATTGTATGGTCATATCATGGTTTATCCTTTCACTTGTTGATGGGCACTTGGGTTATTTCTAGTATTTGGCTATAAGTAAAGCTACTGTAACCATTTGTAGTATACAAGTTTTTGTGTGGACACATGCTTACCTGTCTCTTGAGAATGGGATGGTTGAATCATATTAAGGTGTATGTTTAACTGCCAAACTGTTTTCCAAAGAGATTATACCATTTTACATTTCTCAGGGGTATGCAGGATGAGAGTTTAATTATTCCACGTTCTCATCAATACTTAATATGATCAGTCTTTTTATGTTAGTGCAATGCTATCCCATTGTGGTTTTAATTTGCATTTCTCTAATGACTCATGATCTTGAGCATCTTTTCACGTGCTCTTTTTCCTCTGTATGTGCTGAAGTAGATGCTTAAAGGTATTGCCCATTTTTTAAATTGAGTTGTTTGTTTTCTTAATATTAAATTTTGAGAGTTCTTTATATATTCTGGATTTAAGTGCTTTATCAGATATATGACTTAGAAATATTTTTTCTCCATCTTTGGCTTGTCTTTGTACTCCCTTAATAGTGTCCTTCAGAGAGTAGTTTTTAATTTTGATAAAGTCCAATTTATCGATTTTTCTTTTATGGATTGTGCTTTTGAAGTCTTGTCTAAGAAATCTTTGCCTAACCCAAGATCACAAAGATCTTCTCTCATGTTTGTTTCTACCAGTTCTATAGTTATATGTTTCACATTTAGGTCTTTGATTCATTATGAGATAATTTTTGTTAATTTCAGATTCCTCCAGTGGACTGCTGCTCCCTTGTGTTTATTGTTAATATTATAATGCCAGGAGGTTCTGTATTCCTGCTCCACTGGCATCTTTCAGCAGACCTTGCACACCACGATTACTGAGTTTTTTGGTGGCTTCTTAAATTTCGTGCAGAACCCTCACTCTTCTCATCTTAGTCCCAGCCTCGGTATTTTAACTGCCTCCTCAAAAGTAATAAGAGTTACATTCAAAGGATACTAATAAAATACAATAAAAATTAGTCAATGGAAGTTAGAAGTTCATAGACTCAGTTCAACTGATTAAATTTTACTTATTCATTTATTCTTTTTTCACATTAAACAATATAGTGACAACCAGCAGGATTGAAGAGATGGGGGTGAGTGTAATCTTAGTTTGGATGAAGAGTTTAAAAATCAAACAGATATAATATATAGAGAGAAACTTTTTGAAATTAAACTGAAAAGGATGTTATAAAAGTAATGTTAGAGTAGAAATATCTTTATGAATTTAGGGTCTTAAGAAATACCTAAAGTAGCCAGACAAGACTCTCAGGTACTTATCACCAGTTTTCATGTTAAAACTGTCTTCTGTGTGCCCCCACTGCAAAAATTTGTTCTGATTTAAAATGAGTTCCTTAGAAAATAGCTGATGCCCTGTCTCAGAGGGAAGATATGCTTTCCATGTACCAGACACTTTTCCAAGTATTTATATATGTTAAGTCTTTTAAACCTCTAATAATTCTCCATGGTAGGTACTGTTATTATCCCAAGTTATAGATGAAAAAACTCACGCATGGTGAGATTAAGTAACTGACCTATGTTATACAGTAAGTGCAGAACCTGGATTTAAACCCCAGCAGTGTTGCTCCTCAATCTGGCTTCTAACTATTAAGCTGTACTGCTTCACAGGTACAAGAGTTTAAGAATACAACAGAATAGAATGGATCAAATATATATGTCTTGGTTTTCTATTACTGCTGTAACAAATACCAGATTAATTTTAGAAAGTCTGGGACTGTTGACAGATATAGATCAGACATTCTTTATGTCTCTTTGTAAAGTCTACCCTTTTTACATGTATTTTTCTTCTTCCTGGGTATGGAAGAATGGATATAGATAACTATGGGTAGACAAGAAGTTAAAATAAAATCTTTGGACCTATTCCAAAAAGGGGAAAGATTGATGAGCCCCAGTGGTCACACATGATGACTAGGAGAAAGTGTTTCTGAGAATGTGTTGCAAGATGATGGATTTGCCAGATGTCTAGAAAGAGAATTGTCTGTGCACACTTTAGGATCTTGAGTCTCATGGGAGATGGAGTGTCTCTTGGGCCCCATCATGAGGTCCTCATAGGCATACTGGAATAAATGTTAAGCTGAGGCAGACCAGACTTTGCCTAAGAATGAATGAACATGGAGGCAAGGCATAAGGCCTTCAGTTGAGAAAAGGTGTGGGATAAAATAGTCCCATGAGCACAGGCACTTGAACCTTAGCTGTGAGAGCAACCAACCCAGTAAATACTGACTCTAGACCAAAAATTACTTGATATGGTTTGGTGGATAGAGGAGGTCATTTCAACTTTATTTAATCACAAACCACTAGTGATTTAGTGCTGTAACCTAGTTATAACAATAATGAGTTTCCAGAGTCCCAGTGTTATAAACAGTAGAGCAATTATTAAAGGTTTCTTCACATATGCAATGATTTTGTTCTGGCTAATGAATTTCTAAAGTGTGCGCATTTAACTAACATACATGTATCTATCCACATAGATATAACCTGTAGCAATTGTTGAGACACTGGTTTTATTTCTTGGTAGAACATCTCTTTGAAATATACTGGTGGAGTAAATGTGACTTAATATCCAATTATTTTTTCTCAAAAAAATATTTGATTTTAAGAAAATATTTTCTTGCCTAAGATTTCCAATATATTTTTTATTTTAAAAGATTACTTCCTTTTTTGAGATTAAGTCCTATTTAGAAACTAAATATGATATTTAGTTGGGGTTACCAGCCATCTTCATACTAAGGATATGAACACATTTATGGAATAATATGGAATATGTTTCTATCTTCATAAGAGATACTTTTCTACTTAGAGTGTGCTGCAGTACCAAACTTTTTGCTGTTGACTGGTGTAGTTCTGAGTAAACCTTGATTCCTCTCCTTGACAGTGACCAAAAACTCTGCTAGAGGATTTGTGGATGGACCAAACCCATTAATGTGGTTGTCACTGCAAAGAGAGAAACATGTTATCCTGAATATTTGTGAAATGTTCTTGTAAAAGTGTCTTAGAGCAGTAATTTTATATTATTTTTACCTTTAGAGATTTAAAAATCATTCATTTTATACTTGACAGGAGATAATTTGCACATAATCCACTGTGGGTATCTTTTAATATCAATCATTTTGATTCTTTTTAAAGAATTTTGAAGAGGTTCATAGAGGTTCAAGTACTTTTATCTTAAAAACATCTCTCCTTTTATGATATAGTTTTGCTTCCGAATGTCAGCCTTTTTATTTTTTAAAAAATTATATCTTTCATAAGAACATTTCTAAAACTGATATTTCAAAAATAAAACTTAAACTCATACTCTATTTTTGATTCATTGTTTTAAACTTTCAGGCTCAACTTTAAAGAAGCTTCTACACACTGGAAATTCTATTAAGGTATTTACTTTAGATGACTGTATAATGGCATTTTTTATTACTCTTGAATTTATTAGTGCTGTGAAGTGACAAAATTACGCTGTTAAAAAATCTTTAAAAACCATTTAGTTTTATTTTTAATTGAGAAATTCTATTACAAATATTGTTAGAGGTTTGTGTTCTTGTATCATATTTTTAGGAGAAACTGGCTTGGGATTTGGAGTTTGGAGATCTGAATTCTAATTTTGATTCTGCTGTGTACAGTTAGGGAGCCACTGGCAAGGCACTAACTGCTCCAGTTTTATTATCAAAAGGGAAGGGGTTGAACCTGTTCCTCTCTAAGCTTCAGAGCTAACGTGCCTGATTCTATTCACCTCAGTAATCTTGTTAAAATTTTAGTTGTCTCTGAATTCTTTTTGCTATTTTTGAGCACTATTATAGAGGAAAAGAACAGTAGAGCCTTAGTCTTGAATATTTATTTATTTGCAGCAGATCGATCTTATAATTTAGGTTAAAATTGGCTTATTTTTAAATGGATATGCCTTTATAATGACATATCGTTTGGTCTGGAATAAGATGACACTAAAACGTAAGTGACAAAAGAAGCCAGCCTGGTAGGTATATTTTATGGAAGATAATTCACTTGTTGCTCATTAAGTTATGTGTGTGTCTTTAATAAGCTAATACATTTTTGGCTTTATACCAGTTTAAACAATCATAGCTACTTAAACTTGGTATTTTAAGTATCTCTTATATGTTGAAAAAAGGAGGCAAGCTATTCCTAGCTTCATAATAGATTCCATATTTTGTTCTGCCTATTCCAATTAATAGTCTTACAGTTGAAACCTTTCAAGTTGTTATTATTGGCCTATTTATGTTTAGTTATCTTTAGTATAGTTAACATAAAAAATTAAAGACTTGTTATAGAATTTTGAAGAAACTTTTCCTTTTGTTAAATTTCATATGATTTGGTTAGATATACATAGAGCCATGTCATTTTTTTTGTCTGACACTGGATAGCATTGTGCATTCAGCAGTGTCAGTTATCACTTACTTCACCTGACTGGGGAGAGGACAGGTGTGAGTGGGCATGGAGGTTTGTGCAGAGCAGCAGTGAGTCCACGGGCACGTCTGAAAGTGCACTGTGGAATCTGCTGTTAGTGGGAGTAACACTGTCACTAGTCTTAGTGTATTTGATGTCTGTGGGGATTCAGCCAAGCTTTTTCCCCTCCCTCCTTCCTTCCTTCTCTCTCTCCTTCCTTCCTTCCTTCCTCCCTCCTTCCTTCCTTCTCTCTCTCCTTCTTTCCTTCCTTCCTTCTCTCTCTCCTTCCTTCCTTCCTTCCTTCCTTCTTTCCTTCTTTCCTTCCTTCCTTCCTTCCTTCCTTCTTTTTTTTCCTTTTTGGCTCTTCTCCTCTTGGCTTTTCTGTAGAGCCTTGTGTTTTGCTTGAACACACACTCCAGCAGAATCAGCACCTTGATGTAATTGAAAAGAGATCAGGCAGTCCCTCAGTTGCCTACATTTGGAACTCACTAATTTTTCAACTGACATTTTTTTCATCTCTTTTGCTTATTTAACTTATTTCATTGGCATCATCTTTTCAGCCATTTAGGAATGTAGAAATGGAGGTACCTGTGTTTATGAATTCTAGGAATGGAATGAAGTTAAAAGTAAGTGCAGAGGAAGATGAAGAATACCTATATCAATGTTTTCTGCCAGGTGATGCCAGCCATTCAGACTATAGCAAAGGTGTGGGAGAGAATAGAGTAGGGACATAAGGCAGGCAAGCTGGAGAACTGTCCCATCCCATTGAGCCAGCTCTTTAAGATCTTATTTAGCTTTAAGTGTTCTGCTTCTCAAGAACATTATAAATGTGCATGTTGTAGTGACATGACATAAATTCTCTTCAAAGCACAGTGTAAATTTGGAGGAAGATTATCTTTACATTGTTTCCATGGATAATTGAGCATTGATGGTTTGGGCACTGTGCCTTATGGAATGAAATATAGTTAATAGAAAATACATAGCACTCTGAGCTAGGCACTGTTTGTTCTAACTCACTTAATCCTATATCTGCACTTTGTGATACATTTTGTTATCATCCCTATTTTACAGATGGAGAGACTAAGACATAGAGAAGTTAAGTGATTCTGCACAGGTCACAGCTAAGCTAGAAAGTAGTAGAGACTGCATTTGAACCCAGCCATCCTGGCTCCAGAACCCAAGCTCTTAACTCTTGTGCTGTATTGCTGCATCCTTATTTACTTGTCACTAAGTGAACTTCGTGTAGTACGTTAACAATACCTTTCACTTCTAGATTTTCTTTCTCAGAACTATGCTACATTGCAGTGCATTTCTACAAATACATGTGTTTAATTTTGTTGCCTTTAATTTTGTTTTTAGATAAGATGTGAAGGAATCAGGCTGTTTCTTCTGTGGCTTCAGGCACTTCAGACAAACTGTGCAGAAGAGCAGGTGCTGATTTTTGCTTGCCTTGTGCCTGGTTTCCCAGCAATTGTTTCCTCCAGAGGGCCCTGTACACTGGAGACGCTCATCAGTCCGAGCCCTAGTGTAGCTGATGGTGAGTGATGTGAACAGATCTTAAAGGTTGAAATGACTCTTGAAGTTACATTGAGGATTTCCTTGGTTTGCCATTTCCCTGAATAGAAATCTTGATTTCATAGATGGATTCCAAAGAATTATCCATGTTCATATTCATAGTAGATTCTTAGAAACATTAGAATTGAAGGACTTGAAACTTATTTTATATGAGATGATAACAGGAGAAATTTACTGAAATGGTCGAAACAGGAATGGAAAGGAGGAGACAAATATTAGCAATAGCAGAAAGTAGAGACACATGCTATGTCTGAGTGTTTTTTGGCTGTTAATGAGATTTAAATCCACTATCCAAAACTACTGTTTGTTGTCTCCGACTTTATTGTTTCTTAAGTAGGCATTCATCAGCTCACCCAAGCCCTTTTTGCCAGCTGAGTATTTTCATGCAGCATTCATGGAAGGATAATAGTGGCCTCATGGGACTATTAATGGCAGCCACTGTGTCCTATGAATTTTCAAGGAACTTGCCAATTAGGGCCATTAATTTATAACTGCATATTACTTAATTGACAAATGACAGGTATTTGACCTTAGGCTGACAAAAGCAGAATTTGAAAGGGAAAATAATGGTCCAGTGGAAAAGGTGGCTTTATGGGCATCTGTTATCATGTTTGTAAGACCTTCATGCATACTTGCTTGGTCCGTGTGAGCAGGTCTAATGGATGGATAGATGTATTTTAATAGAGGCCATTTAAAAAAATCTTGTTTAAAATTTTACTTTAGTGAAAGAGCTCTCATTATTTTTCACTCTGCAGCAAAGATATATCCAGAAGAAATCAGTCCACTCCTGCCAGCCATATCGGGGGAAAAGATCGCTGAGGACCAAACATGCTTTTTTCTTCAAATACTGTTGAAATATATGGTCATTCAGGTAAGAGCAAATCATAGATAATTCAGTGATCGTCTTATTCTGAGTAGGGAAGAGAAAACATTGTCTCTTCCTGTTTGTTCACATTTTGCATTTTTTCTTTTTCTTTGGGGTGATTTTATGTGATATTTAACTAAACATAGAGTATGTGCCAGGTCACTTCGTCAAAGATCAGGTACATACACTTTTGTGTGAGTATGTATGTAAAGTGAAAAATCTAGTTCTCCATCTGTGTGTCTCCTTTGCTCTCATATTATTTCTACATTCACACAGAACACTCACTTATGACACTTATGGTCACCAAATGTGCAGGTTATTTCCCTGTAACAAGCAATTCTCTGCCACAACAGCTGGGTGTCTTACAGTTTATCTCAATTCTGAAACTATCTACCTGGAGATAGCATACAATCCCACATGTTAAGATCTCAGCCCCATAAGACTGTTTCCATCCCATTCAGATGCTAACTGTACATAGTAGGTCTCTAGGTTACCCCCAAAATCATAGGTTCCCACAAACCCCTCCTCATATTTATTTGCTAGAGCAGCTCCCTGAACTCAGGGAAGCATTTACTCATGTTTACCAGTTTATTAAAAAATATAATAAAGGATACAGAATAGCCAGAATAAGAGATACATAGGACAAGGTCTGGGAAAGTTCCAAGCACAGGAGCTTCTGTTCTTATGGAGCTGAGGTGCATTACCCTCCCAGTTAATCGATGTGTTCACCTACCTGGAAGCTCCCTAAAACCCCTACTATTGGGATTTTATGGAGACTTCCTCTCACAGGTATGATCAGTCAGTAACTCCATTTCCAGCCCTTTTCCCCTTTCTAGAGAAACGGGGTGGGGATGGGGCTGAAAATTCCAAGTTCCGATCATGGTTTGGTCTTTCTGATGACCAGCCTCCATCCACAAGTCATCCAGGAGCCCATTCAGAGTCACCTCAATAGGACAAATGATGCTCCTAATGTTCTTATCACTTAGGAATTCAAAAGAATTTCAGGAGCTCTGTGATCTCTGTGCTAGCAAGACAGGATGAAGGAGGAGGCAGGCCCAGAGGCTGAATGGGTGGGTTAGGAGTAGGCAGAGCAGGTAGGGAGATTTGAATGAAAGCATATGTAATTATTTCATGTACCTGCTTTATGTCACATACTCCTTCCTCTTATATTTTTCACCTGAATACAGAAAAAAAACATTAGTTTATGGTTTCAATTGGTTATTTATGTCCCTTGGTCTATATTTCTGAGCATGAATGTGATTCAAAAAAAGCTACTGAGTATTTTTTCCTCAGTGAACACTTTTCTCTCTCTGAGTTCCTCCTGGGTATAGTCCATTTTCTGTCCTTCCATTCACAATCAAGTTTGTTGACGTAATAATCTCTGCCAAGTCCACTTCCTTACCTAACGTTCCTTGACACTCTCTGTTACTTGCCTCTGCTCTGTCATTGATAAGACAGAGGTCCAAAACCATGAAGGGGTTCTTGTGGTCAAGTCCAGAGGAAGGGCACTCTTAAGTTTGTGTCATACCCAGTCTTTCAGATGATTTGAGAGTGTCTGTCCCTCCTTCATGAGATTCCTCTCCTGATATTTTCTTCTGACTTCCTTCCTTCCTTTTACTTTTTTCCCATTTACTTTGGGAGATGGTTTCTCTCTGCTGTCCTTCACAATTCAGTCTTTGGTTGTCCTTTCTGACTACTCTGTCCTGCTGGGTGATCTTGTCAGCTCTCCACTCCCCTGTTCTCTTTAGTCAGCACCAGGAACACAAGGATTCCAATTGGGGTATTTGGTCATTGTCTAGAAGCTCCGCGTTTAGCTCTGCTGTCCCATTCTACCTGCATCTCGAGCTCTTATTTATTCAGAAGTGCCAGGGCATTCTTTATGTCCTAGATCAGCATAGAGTATCTCGAACCTGGATATGTTGGGAGATGGGTTTTCATTCTATATGTGTTACTAATAAGCTGTGTGACCTTGAATGAGTCACGAAATCCCCAGGATCCCATTAGAGGAAGGATGCATTGATATGGGTAGAGGTTTTATGCGGACTGTGAGCCCCTAAATTGTGTGCAGAATGGTATGTTCACATTTATCCCCTTCTCCTTCTCTCCCTTCTCTCTACTGGATTGAGTCTTCAGAGCAGAGTTTTGCCTCGGCTCACCCCAGAGAACTTCTAACAGGTTACAGATACTGAACTCCTTTGCCCCTGGGCAGCCAAAGCCTCTCATCCCTTTACCTCAGACGCTGCACAAATATCATTTTCTAAGTGGGCTGCATCATGAAGGAATTTGAGAAGCTCTGCTCTAGAGAGATCTATGGTCTAACAAGTATTAAGAGCCACTGACAGGTATAGCTAGACTGGTAGGGCTGGTTTATTCTAGCCTGTGGATTGCTTTTAATCAGGAGAATTCTTTTTCCAAGATTCCGTAGCTTTGCCTTTTGATATTGATATTGCATATTGGTAACATTGGATGAAATCTTTGCAAGGGGTTGTTTCCTTAGTTCCTGTTTATTGTAAAGGGTCTTTTTAGAGTTAAAAAAAAAAAAAAAGCACCTGATTATACCTGACTAGATGTTTTAAGGGCACAGGAATGTTAAATCATCATAAAGAACATGTGGAAAAAAATATGGGCATCATGTAGTAGAGCAAGTTTAAAAAGAAATGATATTGTTGGGTGATTTTTTTAATAATAAAAATGCTGTTTTTAACATAGTTACTATTTTGTTTTGAAATATTCATTCTTGTTATTTTTTGAGTTTTAAAATATGATTTCATTACATAATTATCAGTATTTGTCAAGTTTTTAAGTTGGGATAAAAATTTTAATAATATAAAGCATTTCAGTTTAGTATACATTAATTTGAAATGTAAATATACATATGTTCTTTTTTCACATATTATCCAAAGGCTGCAAGCTTGGAATGGAAGAATCAGGAGAATCAAGATACTGGTTTTAAATTTCTTTTTACGTTGTTTCGAAAGTATTATCTTCCTCATTTATTTCCATCATTTACTAAGTTAACAAACATCTACAAACCTGTACTTGGTAAGTACTGATTAAGCCATGTATAGAGGACGTCCACAGGGAAGCTGTACAGTGTCTTTCAAAGTGACCTTTGATTATTTTTAGGTGAAATGGCCATGTTATTCTTATATTTAGTGGTAACTTTATTTTAAGAGTTTGAAAGTTTCCTAATAAATGACTTTAACTACTCAGACTAAGATGTACCTACTCACAGCAATACAGGGGAACTGTGGCTCTATACTAAGAAATCATTTGAAATGAATCATGATTTTTTTTGGTGTAATTATATTTAAAATACTTCAATGTAGAAAAAGCTTGCATTTGTTTACATCTTCTCTTGCTGGAGGCGGGGTGTGCTGACCCCAGACCTTGCTTAGTGTCTAGGCATGTCAGCCCAGACCACACAACTTCCCACAGTATGCCCTTTCTTTTTTACTGGATCTTTCATCTGGAAGGGACTACTTACGTCTGCTTATGGAGCAGCAGACATTTGGACAACCAGAAGCATCCCTTAGAATGGTGGAGGTGAGGCAGGTTTTCCTCTGCCTATTATTTTAAAGTAGGTGAAATTGAATAATTAAGAACAATTTTGAAGGGGAAAAGATAACAGTCATTAATTCATCTGAGGAATGCGAATTAATTCATTTGTTTGTAGGTGTTTATTATATATGCACACAGACACTCAGGCAAGGAGAAAATAGCTGGAGCCTGGTACATTTTGAACAGTGTAGAAATCCTGACTCTAAGGGTACTGGGCTATGTATTTTGTTAGCTCCGTGGGTATTTTTTTCACATTTTGTTTCTGATTTTATAAGTAGTTTGTATTCATTATAGAAAACATAGTAAGTATATTGTTAATATTTTGAGACTAAAGTTATTTGCTAAGAATTTTTCTACCTCATCCATGTACTTCCAGGTGTACAAAAATTAGGAGTAGAGTTGGACTTACAGCAAGTAGTATCTCAAATTTAATTTTCATATTGATTATGGAATTTAAAGAAGGAGAAATGGACTTCTAATTAATTCTTTGGAAATGGTGGTGTACTTACCTCAGAAATGAAACATGACTCTCTGAATTCTTACAGACATAAAGTAGATTATACTGATTCTGTTTCTTTGGATTCATCCAAAGGGAAAAGGGTATAAAACTAAAGTTCAGTTGATTTGATCAGTGTAATGTTGGATGTTAAAATACCTTATATGATGGAAAAAATGTCTATACATAGTTTTACATTTGTTCCAATCATAAAATAAATTTAAATTAGTTATATATGAAAATATTTTTCGCTATTATAATTTCATGTAATTTCTCAGATTTGTTAAAAAGAGTTATTAGTTTACTTTTTCCACAGCCATGTACCACAGCTGTATGTTACCATAACAACCACCACCTCCCTGTCTTGTCAAATTGCAAGGCAGAATCAGAAACGAGTTTACCAAAAAATGACATTTTTAATCATTTCTGGTTCTTTAATTATAGTTTTTTAATTATAGTTGCTTTTCAGACAACCAAATATGTCTATTTACTTGAAAACTGAAACATTTGTAGGGGTTACATAATGTCAGGATTCACTAACCTAATCATTGTTCTTTTTGTTCCCAGACATCCCCCATTTAAGACCAAAGCCAGTGTATATTACTACAACTCGAGACAATGAAAACATTTACAGTACAAAAATTCCATTCATGGCAGCTCGTGTTGTTTTTATTAAGTGGATTGTAACTTTCTTTTTGGAAAAAAAGTATTTAACTACAACACAAAACACTAAAAATGGAGTTGATGTATTGCCTAAAATCATGCAGGTATGTCATTCATCATCTTTATCTCTTCATACTTATGTAATAACACACACTAACTTATATTTGGGTTATTGGGTTTATTGGGTTTTACAGGTTGTTTGTGTTATAAGGACTTGATTTTATTGGCTCACTCTGTAATGCTGAGGTTTCGTAAGAAGCTGTGACTTAGAAGCACTTGCTGTGCTCTATTGGAATTGTCATAACAAGGCAGTCTTGGGGATGAGGGAAGCATTCTGAGATGACTGTTCTGTGTATACTTCTGGTTTTCTCTCGTTTTCTCTCCTTCACTCTGGTACTAGTAACCTCTGAGCAATAAGACCAGGGCCTGTCTTGCTTTCATCAGTCCCCAGCACCTGGAAGGCCCTCAGGAATGATGCAGGTTGGCCATGAAGAGGACCTATAAGACTGCCAACTGCCCTCTGGAAACTCAGGGGAAGAGGTGGATCAGCACTCAGGATTTCAGGGTGGTTGAGCCAAGATGGGATCCCTAGAGGAGAAAGAAGGCTGCCTCTCCCTAGGCCTTAGGTGAAGACCTCTTCTTGTATGGGCCATCTGTTTCTTGCTGGCTGTGGTCAGTTACAAATGGGGTTTTCAAAGCTGGTTGAATTGCTTAGGGGACTTTATGCTGGGTAGAGCAGGACCACTTGTGAAAGTCAGAGAGCAGCCACTTTATGGAAAGGTCATGGTTTTGTGAGCTTTTTTTGTTGTCTACAAGAATAGGGATAGGAAGTGTGATCCACTTAGTGCAGGTTTGCTGATACCCTGGAGTTCCCAGCAGTGTGACCTAGGCCTGAACTGCGAAAGTTGCACACAACTGAGGGGTAATTGATGCCTTGTTGGAGGAGCACCAAACCGAGATTCAGAGCATGTGGCCCTATTGACAAAATCTGACAGAAGAAGTGGAGAAACTTATTTTCAAAGAAGTTGAGAGAGATACAATTACAACAAGAACAACAAAAGACTTGCTGATAGGAAGTTTTAAAAATATCTTAAATTTCTTCGTATAAAAACTTAGTAGGTAAGCCGAAATGGTAACAATCACTGCTGAGAACAAAATTTATTTTCTGAAGAAATATCCCATGACAATAAATAAAACCTCAGGACAGATCCAGACCTCCCTTGCAAATATTTTGAGGTCAGAAGTAGAGAAGAATGAGAAGTAATAATTGAACTAATAAAAAGAAAACTTCCAGACTGAGCAAAAAGAAGTAATGCCTTAGACTGAAAGGCTTTTGAGTCCCAGGAAGAATTAGCTACACAAATACAAACCTAAACAGACATTCGACTTTCAAGGATTAAAAACTATACAGACTTCCAGACAAATAAGAAGTTCCTTCAGAGGAATAAGATTGAGACTAGCATTGAATATCTAATCTAACCTACAGCCCTGAAGCTGAAAGAACATGTCTGCGTGTCTCACTTTCTCATTCTTGCTTCATATTACATACATAAACTAATGTCAGATTGATTTAAGGTCAAAATTGATTTGAGGTCCAACTATAAAAACAAAATGATAAAGACTTTGGGAGAAAATCTAAGGGAATGTATAAATTTGGCAAGTGGTAGGCCGTCTTAGGTACAGATAAGACCCACAAGCCATAGAGGAAATGAGGTTCAACTTTATTTGAAAAAATAGAAAAAGATTTATGTTTCAAAAGAGCATAAAGCCACACCCAAGAATAGACTGTGAAAAAGCATTTGTAACATCATGGCTGTTAATAGAGCTCATATCTCTACTATTTATTAAAATACAAATTGATAAGACAAATAGTCCAATTGAAAAATGGACAAAGGAGATGAAAGAGAAGTTCACAGAAGAGGAAATAAAAATGCCCCTGGATTTTACCAGCAGTCAGGGAAACAGTTCATTCTGAGCTGTGACAAGAGAACTTTATTCACCAATCAGGTAGACAAAAGCTAAAAATCATTAGGTAGACCAAAATTTGTATCAAATTATATATAAGAAACTCAGTTACACTCTTTGATAAATTTTACATTGCATCTATGTGATTTTTCAGCAATTCAAAACAGTATTTAAAAAATGTAACTTCTTTCCTACCTGGTTTCAAAATCTCGAAAAACCATCACCTATATTTATTGAAAGTAAATTCCTCACCTGGATGATGATAAATAGCAAGAATAGCAGATTAACCACAGCTTCAAGTTTATAATTTTTTCCCCTTGTTGACTCTTCATACTTGTAAGTCATCTACTCTTATTATCTAGCTTTTTTTAGTGTCATAGGAGTCTGAACAACTCAATCAATTAGGATAGTTCTTATCATCCTAAAAGAAAAAAGACACCAGAGCTCAAACTGAGTTAAACATAAAAAGAAATATTTTAATCTCATGATTAAAGCTAATGGGGAGGCTAGCTGACAGTGGGGTTACTCATGGTTCACTCATGGAGGCTTGCTCTCTCTATGATTCTCTGTGGTTTTTTCTTTTCTATTTTGCCCTTTTCCCGCTGGCAGGTTTGTCTTCAGCTTTCCTGATGATTGGAAGATGGGGCACTGCATTCCTTGTTCATGTTCAGAGATAACCCAGAAATACAAAGCCCTGCCCTTTTGTCTGAGTACAACAGCTTAGATTACCTGCCTACTCCTAGAACCATAACAAGGCACTGATTGGCTTAAAGCTGAGTGTGTGAACTGCCCAGGGGAAGGGGCATGATAGACTCTTACTATTTGGAACACTCCCCTGGTACTGTGGATAGGGTCACCTTTGTGAGTCATGTGGGCTTCTTGGGAAGAGGCACACAGAGCCCTGGGATTCTGTGAGAGAAGAGGAATGAATGCTGGGCAGACAGCCATCTGTGCCCAGTGCTACTATTCCTTGCAGATGGATGCACCTAGAAATGGTCATTTCCACTGTAGGGACTTTTATTATACCTCACAATAAATTTTTATATTAGTTTCCTATTGCTAATATAGCAAATTACCACAAACAGAATCCGTTTTCTTGCCTTGTCCAACTTCTAGAGGCTTCCTGCATTTCTTGGCTCGTGACCCTTCATCACATCACCTTTTCTCCCTCTGTTTCCATCTTTACATCGCCTTCTCTGTGTCTCATCTTCCTGCTTGTGATTACACTGGGACCACCCAGAAAATCCAGGATAATCTCCCCATTGCAGCATCTTTTATTTAACCATATCTGCTAAGTCCTTTTTGACATGTAAGGTAACATTCAAAGTTTCCAGAGATTGGAGCATGGACATCTTTTGGGGCTCATTATTCAGCTGACCAGTTGTCTCCTGTATTCCCCTCTCTGCCTTACAGCTGTGGTTCAGACCTCATCTCATATGTGTCTACTGTGTTCTGCATTTGTTTACATTGTACATGAGAAAAAGCAATTGAATATTAAATTTTGGAAATGGAGGTGCAGGAATAAAAGCACATATATTTGCATTTGTCTCCTGAAAGTTTTCATTTGGAATTTAAAATTTAATTTTACCCATGTAAAGTGAACATCCCTGCCTAAGTCAGGTGATCCAGAATCTCTTCAAAGAATATACTGCTCTTGTAAAAGCCCTTTAAAACAATATTGTCAGTGCTGCTTCCAAATAGAGTTCACACTTTGGCCACTATTACTGTGTTAAAAGTCATGTGTGACAGTTTTTGTGTGTGTGTGTTATTTTTCCAAAGTGAACTTACTTCTTCTTGATCTAGAACTAATACCTTTGATAGTATTTTTTGCCAGGAAAAAAAGGAATTAGTACATTTTCTAGACTTAGCTAACTTTTACACTTGGAGAGTCTGGCTTAACAAATTTTCTTATTCAGTAGCATCATTCATGGTAGAATGAAAGTACATCCCATACATCCCATGGTATGTTGGCAATGACAATCAACTCCTCTTTTAAACCTGAACAGTCTTTGTTCATCATTTCAGCTGAAAATGTTTTCTGTGAAGAATTATTTATTCCTTAGTAATTCATTTCTGTATGAGGTAGTAGTAGTGCTTCAACATGCATTAGAGAAAGCAGAGTGGTGATTTTAAAATTTAAGCAGCAATTTTTTTTTTTTTTACCAGTTCTATATGCACATTAATTAAACATTAGAACCCAAAGGAGTCCATTAGGGAATGAGAAAGAAAGTTTGAAATTGTAAGACAGTTGATCACATTTATTTGTATGATAATTCTTTAATTACATTATTGAAGTACCACTTTTACTAATTCTGGACTAGCCCTTTAATAATGATTCGTGGGCCGTATGTTTTCTGAAATTGTTGTATTTTATGGGGTGAACAGCTAGAAAAAGTGAATATCACAAATTGACAGCCCTATGGGAGTTAGTATATTGTACAAACTCATTTGTTGATTACCACCCTAGTACTCTCTGTCTTCTTAAGCCCTCCCAAGGCAAATGTATGCCCCCAACCAAGCAGTTGAATCATGACAGGGAAATTGAGTGGGTGGCATCAGGTAACACCAACAGAATAGTAGTTGCATCCTCTCTTTTCACACCTGATTTGTGGTTGTCTTAATTGGGCCTGACCTTTAGAATAAACAAGTCTCAGTGTGAGCTGTAGGATGAGAGGAAGCCGTGATGGTAGGAAAGGTTGGGGGAAGGATTAAGTGGTAGCCTGTATCATGTAATTTCTTGAGCCCTGGCAAATACTAAAAAATACTAAATAAATAGTTGAGAACTCCAGCTTAATTGTAGTGGGGAACGAGAATGGACCTCTCTCTGTGTTATCTTTTTCATCTTCTTGCTGTTAATCTTCATAAAAGAAACAAGAAATGAATAGATTTGGATTATCAGTTTGTTTTCACTCTCATCATTTACTGTAATTATAAATGTCTATAGAAACATGTACATATTTTTGGAAAGCAGCCTTCATGAAGGGAGTGTGGACTAGAAGAGGCTAAGAAAAGCATCATTTTATCAGGAGAAATATATTTTCTATCCACAGTTGGGAATCTGCATTTGGATGGTTGACTTAAGTTATATGCAGATTTTCAATTCCATGTGGGTCAGCACCCCTAACCCTCATGTCATTGAGAGTAAGCTGTCATTTTCAATTTATGGCATGATGAGAAATCCATCTATGCTACTATTATGTTCTATTTGGATAACAGAGCTCATAACAGAGCTCATTTTTTAAATGACTGGATGACTTTAAACATAATTCTTTATGCACATTATTTTAGTTATCAAGTTGCTGTGTTACCTAATTAGTTATCTAATGACCTCAAAACTTAGTGGCTTAAAACAACAACCGTTTTATCATACTAAATATTTCATTTTTTGAATCAGGAATTTGGACAGGATTCGGGGGCAGTTCTTATGCTTCATGTGGCATTCATTGAGGTCTTTAGCTGGCAGCTGGTTGGTCTGGAAGGTCCAAGGTAACTTGGTACATATTCCTGTTACTTCAGTGGGTGCAGTTGGAAGGCTGGCCTCAGCTGGGCCTCTCCTTGCATGTAGTGTCTCTCCGGGTAGTTGGACTTCTTTTCTGTCTGCTCAGGGCTCCAAGAAGTAATGATTTGTCAACCTCTTGGGCCTGAGCCTGAAACTAGCACAGGTCTCTTCCACTCTATTCTGCTGGTTAACACAGTCACAGAGTCCATGTGGATCAAAGGGAGGGGACATGACTTCACCTTTCTACAGAGGAGTGTCAAAGAATTTGTGGCCTTTTTAATTTGCTACGTATATATGTATGTATATGTTTTTTCTTTCCGTTTTAGGCCTGTCGGGAAAATGAAAGTTATTTATCAAAAAGTTACAGGTCATTGAGCTGCAAAAGAATTAGCCTTACTCCAACCTCCATGCTTTACAGATTAAAATAAAACATATATTTTTAACAATGAGTGAAATTTAATCTTTCTATAGAAGATAGTTGATTCATCAAAAGGTGATATAATTTCTATAGGGTAGCTCATCTCGCAGTGTGACAGTGCCTTTGATAAGCCACATAGGCTTAATAGCTAAGGCATGAAGAGAAAAAATAATTATAAATATAATCTTCCATTAATTTCTCCTAGAGATTACTACTTTGATATCAGTTTTGCTTTCAACCTGTCCTTGGTAGTTACTGAAATTACTATTTTGTACTACTCTTATCACTCCTGTAAAAAAATACTCACGGTGGGTAGAATTTTAGTGGTATTTGGGTTATATATTTTGGCACTTAAAAGAATAATAGTGGAATTTACAAAGATGAAGAGAAATTATACATGTTTGGAGGAAACATTTAATTCTTTGGGGAAAGGAGAGCAGAAACCAGTGTTAAACTGTGACTCATTGTGTGGATTATTTTATTTCTTTGTGCTCTTAAAGTCTTCTAAATATTTAAAGTTTTATAAATATTTTAGTTAAGCTTGATCTGAGATTCTGAATATAAAACTCAGATCAAGATTCTTATACCCTTTGAAGTTCTTGACACTCCTCCAGCAAGGCGTCACTTAGTCTTATATATCAGATGATGCTTCCCAACATTGTGGCTTCAAAATTTCCACTTAATTTTCAAATCTCTGCAACTGTGGAGTAAGTACTGAAGTGTAGAGACCAAAGGTGATGATAATATAAATTTATTCACACATTAATATATTCTGTGATTTTATAAATATAAATACATATTTTAGGTTGATAAAATTTCACAGACTCTCTCCTTGTAATAATTTAATAGTTTTCCTGTTAAAGTAACTGAGTCAGGGAGGGGTTAGTTGGTGAATTGGAAACTTGGTAAGTTCAGGTCCTGGAGCCCCATGTGCTTCAAGCAGCACTGGGTTCCAGCTAGCTGTCAAGTTAGTGGGAACCAGAGTTCTTTAAAACAAGTCTTCAGTTTTGCTAGGTGTTCTCGAGTGTCAAAAAGGATCACTCCTTTGTGGTAATGACTTTCTTCCAGACTGTTGGCGGTGGTACATCACAAGAGAGAGTGCCGGAGCTGGAGGGTGGCGGGCCTGTAGAGGCAGATAAAAACCATTCTAACAGCAGCACCTTGTCCGACCGGAGACTCAGCAGCTCTAGCCTTTGTAGCATTGAAGAAGAGCACAGAACTGTGTATGAAATGGTGCAGCGGATCCTCTTGTCGACGCGCGGTTATGTCAATTTTGTGAATGAAGTATTTCGTCAGGTTAGTGTGTGTGTGTTTTATAAGTTCATGAAATTGAAGATTTTTGTTCTTGTTCTTTTGCTCATACTACTCCAGGTAATACTATTGATGAGTTGGGCTGAATTATAGGACTGAATAATGACCCCTCTAATCTTGCTTTTAATTTGTCATGTGGGGTGTTGTGATTTTGTTTCTTTTGTGAATTTTTAAATTGTGCTTTTGTAAAATTCCTATTGGAGGGAAAATTTTATGTTTGAGCAAAATCATCCCAAAAATACCTCGGTTCCATAACAAATTTTAAATCTAGAGGTAGTTAGGATGAAAGCCATTCCTGCATATGCATCAGCAGATACACATAACAAAGAAGAGCCCAAGGCTGGTATCATTCCCAGGGCCTTAGGGAGCTGTCTAATGAGCTGGAGCTCTCTGCAAACAGTCGTACTTGCCCTACAAAGACCTATAGCATCCACATATGATAGAAGTACTTATGGCATGAGGAAAAAAAAGGTGGGTAAATGAAAAGAAAGAAACGAGCCAAGGTTAAGACATTGAAATAACAGACCTATGGTGGAACCTGTGGTGAGTGAAAAAGCATTGAGAAGAGCAGAAGTGCAAATAAGAAAACAGGGTGCAAGCAAGGGAAGAAGACAGAAGAGATCAGAGGCTGGGGTAACAATTAGCAGCCATGAGCAATAATCAGGTATGATTCTGCTCCCCAGAGGACATTTGACCATGTCTGCAGACATTTTTGGTTCTCACAACTGGGGTCGGGGACAATGCAACTGGCATCTAGTGGGTTGCAGCCAGGCATGTTGTTAAATATCTTATAAGCACAGGATAGCTACCCCACTCCCACCCTACAAAGAACAGTCCTGCCCAAAATGTCACTAGTGCTGCTGTGGAGAAGCTCTGAGCTATAGCCATCTGACAGAGGAAGCAGAACCCTCAGTGTAGTTGAGATGGCAACAGCTCTATAATGTGGGGTGGAGCCATTGGCTACCTGTGTCTTGATACTGCTACCTAGAAGACAGAGATTATGGCTCTTTTTTGGGCATGTGTTTATGTTTGGGAAATAGTGTTTAGTCCATGCACCAGGATAGAGGCCGAGGCCCTTGAGTGGCAGAGAGCAATTATTGGTGAGGAGAAGAGGCAGATCCTATATGCATCCTGAGCAGTGCATATGTACTATGAAGAGTTTTTATGGAGAGGCAAGATTTCCAGATAGTGGATGATCAACCCACTTTGGAGACTTCTGTTAAAGGAAAATCAAGCAAGAATCAAAGTCCCAGCATAATTCATAACAATCTAGAAGTTTTACTGCATTTTGTATTTTAATGACTAAAAAGTGTTTACTTAAAATTTTGTTTAATCTGTAATTAAAATTTCTCTTATAAAATATTTTTTTCTGATTCTGTGGCCCAGCACTGCCTTGGTTCTCCTGGCTCCCTATGTCTTCTCTGTCTCATTTCTTGGCCCCAGTCTTTGTTTTACCCCAAATTGTAGGAGTCGACCAAGATTCTCGACTTGAGCATTTTCTTCTGTAACTCCACACTCTCTTCCTTGAAGCCTTCAACTGCTTTTCCAGCGCCAGCAACCATTGTGGCATATGACTTCCAATCAAGCCTTTTGTCCAGACTTTGCTTTTTAATTCCATACTTGCCTTTTAAAATGCCCACTTGTGATCTCATCTGACTTTCCTATGTTATCTTTATGATCACAAGGCCAAAGTTTAGCTTATTTTCTTCCCTAGCATCCAACTTCTCCTTCTGATGTGACTGACTGCTTGCTTGCTTGCTTGCTTGTTTGTTTGTTCATTATTTATTTATTTATTTATTTATTTTAACTTAACTAGTATGTTCACATTATTTTCTTTTTAATTAATTTTTTTTTTATGGTGACATTGATTAACGAAGTCCAGTAAGTCTCAGGTGTACAATTCAACAGTAAGGCATATACTTGTTACATTGTGTGTTCACCGTCCATAGTTAGATTTCTTTCTGTCACCACATATTTGACTGCACCACATATTTGACTGCTCTATATATGTACCCTCCTGGGCTCCTTGTCTCCTTCTTCTCCTGTGAGCCATCACTGGCCAAGTCATGCAGGAGGCTTTCTCACTACCTTTATCTCCATTTCCTTTGACCATAGTTAGCATCATGTTCCTTGGAGCCCCACACCTTCTTTGTCATCCCTTTCTAATCTGCACTGTAGATATCATGCTGCCAGAACATTCTTTTATTATAATAGTCCATGATTTAAAAATGTACTCTATGTCCTCCATTAATATTGCCATAGTGATGCTTGTTGCACACATGGATGGTAATGCTTTAATTTGAATTGAAATAGTCAAGATCTTAGAGGGCATATGATAGAGGCAGAGTTCAGTATACTCTATATAGCAAAGGGCCAGATAGTAAATATTTTAGGCTTTGTTGATCACCTAGGCTCTGTTGCAGCTACTCACCTCTGCTTTTGCAGTGCAAAAGTAGCATAGACAGTATGTAATAAGCATGACTGTGTTCTCATAAAACTTTATTTACAAAAATCAAGTGGCAGGTTGGATTTGGATTATAGGTCAAAGTTTGTTTTAAACTCTATATTTTAAACTGTTGGATGCAAATTCCTAAAATGAGACTAGATATCATTGACAAAGCTTTTGTGCAAGTGATACTAACTAAGTTGATGTGGTTTTACCTTTATAGTGTAATTATTCATTTATCATACACATAATTTGTACCCATTATTGGCATTCCACCTCTGGCGATAGTGTGCTGTGAATTCTAAATTCAATCTACATCCTAAATCCAATCTAAATTCAGATTTGAAGTAGCTTGAGCCATTGAAGTAACTGCAGACTACATATGACTGAAGTTAAAAGACATCTTTGTGCCCTGAAGCTCAAAAACATTTTATTTACATTTCATAATTAGTCTTAATCAAATCTTATTTAAAAAATACATATATATAATTTAAAATATGAGTATTATGCATTGTTAAAATACTGAAATAGAGACATTTGGGAAAAGGTATGGCTTTTAACACTGTGTTCTATTGCCCTCTCTTGGTCAATGATGATTTTTCTTTTATGGAAGACAGACTTCTTCCATAATAATTTATTTTTCAATTTTAAATTAAAATGTTTAAAGACTATTTAAGCCTAAAGGCTATTAAAATGTAAAATGTGCATTCAGGAAGTGCAATTGTCAGCAGGGAGATGTGTGTATGTACAAGAGAACAGTGTGATACAGCAGGAGATCAGATGTCCACGCGTGTGATGTGGGAATAAATACTGATGAGGTGCCACTGGAGGCAGGGAGGCTCATAGCAGGGGCTAGCAGTGTAAGTCACCTTGGACTAGATGGTCCAGTTAGTTCAAGGTAATGGAAATAGATAGTAACTGAAGGAAGATGAGGTTTGGCAAGGCTCAGGGCAGCCTCAATTTACCACTGTGCTTAGCAGGCAGGCTAGCACTGGTAAATGCTTCAGGTAGGGCAATTCTGGTCTTGAGTAGTTCCACTGGAAACTTGTCTTCTACTGGTGTTTTTCAGACTACCTGTTATATCCATTTGTTGAAATCAAATTGGGTCAAAACCAGTATTTTTTTTAAATGATGGAATGTAGTAAAATAGAACAGACCAAAACATTTTACAGTGTATTTTGTAAAGATTAATATTTCTTTATGAAACTTCTGATTTATTTATGTATATACTGTACATATATCTTTCTATAAAAAGTCTCACTTAGGTTACGATCTGAAAAGTTCAGAGCACTGTTATAAAGGGTGTTTGTTCATTAGGTTTTGTTTGTTGTTGATTTTGTTTTAAAGAACAGCTTTATTTTTATTAAAACAAATGAATGTTCATTAGATAAACACTATCTATCTATCTATCTATCTATCTATCTATATATGTATAAAGGAGAAAGTAAAAGATAATCACTCAAATCACTACCATCTAAATAACCACTTTTAATGCTGGAAGAGCATCACTTTAGGTATTTCTATATGTGTATACATGGCTGCTGGCCTGGCTAGCTAGATAGGCAGATAAGATATTGGCAGAAAGGAAATGGTACAGAAAGGCCAGCTGGCAGAGACTGAAATGAAGTGTAGATGGATAGGTGGGTAGGTGGGTAGTTGCAGACAGAAAGGCAGACATAGAATTTGCCAGGCAAATATAAATGGACAGGCAGAATTTGCCAGGCAGGTATAAATGGACAGGCAGGCAGGCAGACAAAGGCAGAAAAAGGTGAAACCAGACAGAGTTGACTGAGGTCAAGGTAGGGGCAAAGGTAGGTATATAGAAGTGCCAGGGGTAAGGGCGGGGGACTGACAGAATAACTTTATGACAATCTAATCTTTAATTCATAGTGGATCTTTAATATATTTTAATGAAGAGTTGTGAATTTTATTAAATTTAACAGAAGAAAACAAATTTGAAGGAATTGTTGAAATTCAAATAAACACTGTTTTACCACAAGAAATATTGCTAAAAGATTTGTCTATAATAAAACTATTATAATAACATTGAGGTGTTGGAGTCACCTTTAAGCTACATGTTGTTATTTTAGATAGCACTTGTTTATTTCTTGTAATGAAATACAAGAAATTAGCAGCCTTATAGTTTCTTTATCCTCTTCACTCGTGCTAATTTCATTATATTGTAAATTTATATTACAAATTAATCATTATTTGCAGTCTGTTTTGGAATCCTACTGTACAGTTGTTTAGTCTTGATTCTGTATTTAGATAGATTCATTACTCCTGGTGTCCACATTCCTAAAATATTTTTTTTTGATTGACTTCTTGGTTAGCCTTGTTTTGTCATCACGTAGGTATTTTCAAAAAGGTGTCTTGGAAGCTTTATTCCCTGAGTCCTTATATGAAAGGGAATGTTTTCCTTTTGCTTTTACATGTGAATAGCAGTTTAGCTGGGTATAGTAATTTGAGGTCACTCTTTCTTCCACTTAGGAATTTATAACTGAAAACTTTTCTGGGCATACAAATCAGAAGAAGCAAG